TCTTTTTTATGGAGATGGCTCACAGCCAAAGGAGCAGGATTATAGAGACCCCAAACTAGATTGAAGGGATTGAGGGACAAATGAAGAGAAAGGGGAATGTCAAGGCAAATTTTCACAATGGCTTGCACTATTCCAAGTAACAAGAACTAATTTATCTCAGAAACACATGGCTTATTGCTAAAACCAACACTGCATTCTAGCTAGTTCCTAGTAACACTCATTTCTGGGCTTTCTGTCATCCTATTTGGTCATTAATAGCAGCATTCGCAGAAACAGAAATGAAACTAAGAATTGAATATTTATATTTATGATGTAAAATAAAAATTACTTTGCCAAGTGTTTCAGCCAAGTGTTGACAGGAAATAAAACAGAATTCACAGGGATAGTGGATTTTCGGACAAGTTTGAGATGTCAGCATCCCATGCTTTCAGGCAAAGTGGAACAGAAGGAACTGTACTTGTCATTACACCAACTGCCTCCCTCCCAGCGGAGGGTCTTTGTTCCTGGCACTATGACTCATTGGGGTCACTAAGGACATCAGTTGTCCCTCCGCCATGGTGGGTCTTGGGTTTCTCCATTCGGTCCAGATAACACCTGTAAAGGATCTGAGGTCCCTAGATAAGAAGCAACATTCAGTAGAATTTGGCATTCGTAAGATGATGAAATCTATGACATCATTATCCCAGTTCTCACGCTTATAATCCACAGAGAGCTGCTCTTTATTCTCAGAACTAGCCTTTGTAGTGATCTTGAATGTGCAAACATCACTCTTTAGTAATGTTTGAAGCAGCATTTGAAAATCTGAACCATGATTCAAAACTATCCTGTAATAACTAAGCTGCCATAGTTATCTAAGGGTGCTTCCCAATATGTTTTGTATGATCTGCTTTTCCAATAGAGTATAGTGCAGGGAAAAGGGGTGGAGGCAATTGTATAAAAGACACAAAAGGTCCAATTTTAGTTTGGCCCATGACTGCCATGCCCTGGAATTCTGTACACTCTCAGAAAGAGAGTGTCACTGATTATTAAAAATATATAATTTCTTCTTTTTTATTTTTTTTAATTTTTAGAGACATGGGTCTTACTGTGTTGCCCAGGATAGACTCAAACTCCTGGACTCAAAGGACCCTTTCCTCTCAGCCTCCCGAGTAGCTGGGACTGCAGGTGCGTGCTAATTAAGAATCAACAACCAGGGGCTCACGTGTGTAATCCCAGCACTTTGGGAGGCTGAGGCGGGCAGATCACGAGGTCAGGAGATCGAGACCATCCTGGCTAACAAGGTGAAACCACGTCTCTACTAAAAATACAAAAAATTAGCCGGGCGTGGTGGCGGGCGCCTGTAACCCCAGCTACGAGGGAGACTGAGGCAGGAGAATGGCGTGAACCCGGGAGGCGGAGCTTGCAGTGAGCCGAGATCGCGCCACTGCACTCCAGCCTGGGCGACAGAGCAAGACTCCATCTCAAAAAAAAAAAAAAAAAAAAAAGAATCAACAACCAATAAACTGTTGCTGATTCTTGATTAAGAAAGGCTTATGAACTATGTTTGAGCTCAGCAGGGTCGCCTCTCACTTGTCACAGGTAGTGCTCTCTTTCATCAGGTTCTTCCTGCTCCCCCCATCTTGGCAAGCACATCTCTTTTACTGCATGGTACAGGGATACAGGCTGCAAGCACAGTCTCACAGAAACCGTTTAATTCCAAGAGGTCATGTGTGCTCATTTTACACAGTTCATGACCCATAAACCCCGCATTGGTGTCAAAATGGCACGTAACTTAGGAACTCTCCAAAAATATTTCACATAATCAGAATTCATTTTTCATCTAATAAGGAGACATATTTTTTCTCCTGTCTACTAGATTTTAATAATTATTCTCTTCTTTAAAGAGTTCTGTCCATCTTGACAAGGCCTATAGCTCAAATTAAAGTCTCCTTCAAGGCTTTTCGGCATTCTATATCTCTTTGGTTTCAACTTATTCAACAAATCTCCCCAAATTGTATTTCCCCTTTTTTCCATAAGAAGTCATTCCATCTATACTCTCTCCTTCTCTTCTATTCTTTCCTTTTGTTTCGCCAAGAAAATTGTCATTGGTCTTATCAATGCGTTACATAATAGAAGGGGAAAAGCCAAGGGTACAGCCCAACACAGCGCTGATTTAGAAGGTGGAAAGGACAGTAAAGACTGCCTGGTGGTGGGAGTGGCAATTCACAAGCCCAGTAGTAGAATCATGGAAAGTGGAGTTTGAACAAAATCGAGGGCTACAGACCACTCCTGCCTCTGACTGCTATCACCTTGTCACAAATCCTGGCAGGCAAGATGACAAAGCATTTACATCAGGACAGTTGGCAGTGGCAGGTATGGACATGGCCCCTCGGGCTTGCCACTCCTCCTGACTGCACTCCCAGCTCATCACACCAGAGAGCAAGACATGAGCCAGACAGGGGCAGTGGAAGCTGCAGGAGGAATTGAAGCCATGGAGCCAGACAGAGATGAGAGGGAGCAGGCCAACTCTGTTTACAAAGGAGCACCAGCGGGACAGTGGTGTGAGGACTAACATTCCAGGCAGGGTCTTTCAGATACACGATCTTCTTCTGTCAGCTCAAATGAAGCCCAGGAGGTTTCCTGAAGGTGGAACCAAGACCCTTCTACCTCTGAAGCTGCATTCTGTTTTGGGAGGCTGGGAGACAGGGCACCAAAAGAGTCCCTGTCTCACAGGATCTTTCCTGAGAGGAATGGTCTAGTAAGACTGGTCACTAGGGTCTTTGGAGTAACACAGGCTTAATGCCACAGGTGACTCTGCCCCTTTTGGTTGTGGAAACTGTGCAAATGTCTCAAGTTTTTTAAGCTTCATATAAAAAGCATATATAAGCATATAGCAACTAGTTGATCAATGTCATTTTAGACCCTGTCATTTCTGCTAGCCCTGAATTCCAGCAAGGTCCATCTACAATGGATAGCTGACTATCCATTGTTTGAATGTTGATAACACATTTGTGAACAAGAAGAGAGGACAAGTAACGAGAGGTTTGGAACTGGAAGAAATTCCAGCCATCGGTTTTAAGACCAGAACCAGTCTTCGGAGAGGCCACTAGTGACACCCTGCTCTAAACTTCTATTTTTTTTTTTTTTTTAGACGGATTCTCGCTCGGTCGCCCAGGCTGGAGTGCAGTGGCACGATCTTGGCTTACTGCAGGCTCCGCCTCCCGGGTTTACGCCATTCTCCTGCCTCAGCCTCCCGAGTAGTTGGGACTACAGGCGCCTGTCAACACGTCCGGCTATTTTTTTTCTATTTTTTAGTAGAGACGTGGTTTCACCGTGTTAGCCAGGATAGTCTCGATCTCCCGACTTCGTCATCTGCTCGCCTCGGCCTCCCAAAGTGTTGGGATTACAGGCGTGAGCCACCGCGCCCGGCCTGCTCTAAACTTCTTTTTGCCAAAACAGTGCCATCCTCCACCCAGCTCGCATCCCCATCTCTGCAGGTACTTACGGGCGAGAGGAGGATACTTTTCTAATTAAAAACCTGTGATATATGGCCTGACGAGTATTCTTAAATGTAATTAAAGGGACCACAGTACAGAATATTTCCAACTGGTTCTAGTTTAGCCAATCTAGTAAATGATCCAAAGGGTCCCGTGCTTAGAGGGCAGTAAGACAGTAAAAGCACCCTAAGCCTCCTCCCTGCACAGGACCTGCACCCCCACTGCCCAAGGGACTGCACCCATCTCCACATGACTCACTCTCCCTATGCAACGCATGGGGGTGGGGAAGGGAGCGCCAGTATTATCAGCCATCAGCACCCTGGGGTGAACTGATAATCAGGACAACTAAAAACACACCTAATAAAGCCTTGGAGACACATGGCAAGCACGGTGATGGACTAGAAGCGATTTCTAAGCTGAAATGCTGCTTGAATGCAATGTCAGCTGGATGCTTGGTGAGCAGAAATAGAGAAGGGGAAATGGAGCAAGGGTGGCATAGGGGTGAATGTTGTTCTGATTCCTAAGTTTACCTAAGATTGGGGCCACGGGGTCGGGTGTTCCCTGGGACCTACGTCTCATGCAGCCTGGGGTCCAGAGCTGGCAGGAACAATGGAGATGGGGACCAAAGGCTGTCACTGCTGCTTTTTCTCGAAATTCCCGCCCGGGTCCTGTCTGGGGCTCCCGCCTACGCGCTTATCACGTGCACAGCCCAAACTTTTCAGAGCCAGCCCGAGGCCTGCGGGCCCGGACGCCAGGGTGGTTTTTAGGGTTTTCTTTTTTTCTTATTTCCCTTCTTCTTCTCCACAGTTGATGATTTTCTGCAGAAAAACAACTGCGAAAAAGAACCTATTTCATTTCCAGTTCCCATCACCGCGATTTCCACATGGATGTGACGTGACCCCAGCTTCCGAAATGCCCAGGTGACTCACGCGGGGACACCCCGGGGCGGGGCGAGGGAGTTTCTCCCTGGGCCCGCGGGGACTGGGCGGGGCGAGGCAGCGGGGCGGGGCAGGGAAAGGGGGCGGGTCGGGGCGCGGAGGCCGCGAAAGCCCCTCGCCCCCTGCGCCCTCTGGCGGCCGGCGGGACGCAATTCGCAGCCCTACCCAGAGAGTCACGTGACTTTGGAAAGTACCGTGGAAATCCCCGGGCCTAGACCCGCATACAACTGAAACGGGGAAAAGCAGACTGCGCAGTCTGCCGTCTTCGTGGCGGGCCAAGCGAACTTGGAGCCCGCGGGGGCGGAGCGGCGATAGCGGCCGCCAAGAGAGATCACACCCCCGGCCGACCCTGCCAGCGAGCGAGCCCGACCCCGGGCGTCCATGGAGCGTCGCCTCCGCCCGGTCCCGGCCCCGACCTCCGCTTGCTGGGCGCTCCTGCTTTGACCCGGACTTGGGACTTTGCGAAAGGATCGCGGGGCCCGGAGAGGTAACCACTGCGCCTCCCAGTGCCGTCTGCCTCGGGCTCACCGCAGCCAAGGGCTGCGGATGCATGTTGGGCAGCGACCCCCGGGCTGGCTCCGTCTACCTGGCGTTGGTTTTGCAGCGCTCCTGGAGTGGGAGTTTGTTGGACGTTTGTTTCTGTCTGGGTTTTGAAGTGCTGGGAGTTGAGGTCACCGCTTCAGAGGTTGGAGTGACAGCCCTGGATACCTCCAGCCAGCTGTTCCTTTCGGATAATGCACGGAACTTAAGCTGCAGCTGACTGGTGAAGAGGCGCCCCTCGGGCCCTCTGATCGGGTGGTCGTTGATGCTTTGCTCCTTTCGTGTCTTTTTGGGAGCCAAGCGTTGCATGCTCCTGGCCACGTAGACCTTGCAGAAGCGCTGCGGCTTTTTCCCAAATTGTGCAGGGCCAGCCCGACGGGGAGTAGGGTACCGCAGTGGCCGCCAGCCCGGCGGAGGTGGGGGGCTTCAGTCCCAGAGACAGCTTCCCAGGCGCTCAGGGGTCCGTGCACAGGGCTGGGGTCCTGGCGCAGGGTCTAGCTTTTCCAGCTGCAGCAGTGTAAGAGAAGTATGCATGTAGACATGGGTCGCTGGCGCCTGCTCCAGCCCCTACCCCACGGTTAGACTGTCTTTGTCAGCCGGAGTCGTCCCACATCCTGCCACCTGGCCTCTCAGGAAAGCAGTGGCATTAAGTAAGGAAGGAGCTTAACTCTTTTTGAACCCGCTTTGTTTTCAGTTCTCCTCGCCTCAGATCTTCTTGCCTTGGAAAGCCAGTCTGGTCAAGTGTCTCAGGGCAGCATTTTGGTGGAACCATTGTTAATTAAAGGGGCTTCTGGACCCGCAACCTTAATGTACTGGATTATTGAGCAGCCAATGAATGCTTCATTCTCATTGTTTAAGGTGCTGCTTTGATTTTTTTTTTTTTTCAGTTCTTAGTACTATTTTTGATAGGCACATCCCCAAATTTGGATGAGGTATTTGTTGATAAATAATTCATCAATTTCCACAACGCAGACAAAAATATCTGCCCAGAGTGGAAAAATAAAACAAGGGGGAGAAGAGTTTGAGCAATGGAGAAGTTCTGTAGAATCCTAGTGACAAAAGTTGAGAAATTACCTTTAAATAAGACAGTGAGGTAACAAATGTTAAGAAAAAAAAAAAGTTAAGGGTAATATTGCATTGTTTGCCACTTTATAATGTATCTGAAACATTTATTCTTTAATCTTAAGTGTAGAGAGATCCAAGAACTGGAAACTTGGACAGTGGGTTTTGATTTCTAAGGAGGCAGTTTTACAGGCTGTGCAAGGCTAAACCTACCAATGAGATCACACTGGGGTATCCAATATTGACATTTGCATGTCTTGCGTATGGTTTACAGCTCTCACTATTTTAGATCTTTGGTGAAAAATCTTTAGATTCAGAAGAGAAAAAAGGGTCAGACAAGCAAAAAGAGATAACACCTCATTTGTTTAAAATCTTCCTATTGCCCATCTCTTTCCATCTGATTGTGGCAGGCACTGTAGCCACAGGTTTGGTGTTGTGGGATTGCAAGGGGCAGGTATTGAAAGACCTGGCTCCTAGGCAAAACTTCGCCCCTGAATGGCTGTGGGATCTGAGCAGTACCTGTAACTCCATTGCCTTAGCTGCAGACTAAGTTGGTAGTGTGATTTCAAGGAAGGGAATAAGGTCATCTTTGACTTTTAATCCCATCATCAAGCATGGTGATTGGCCTTCAGTAGTGGTCAGGTAGTGCTTGTTGGGTGGATGGGTGGGTGGGTGGGTGGATGGATGGATGGATGGATGATATCGTGAGAGAGACTTTTGCTGTGCCACAAAGGAAAGGTGTATGTGTTATTTTTGTCCTGTTATGGTTTTGCCCAATTCCACCTGTAGAGGACGTCTGACATCAAAAGAGAGCACCATCTGATCCAGAGAATGACTCCCACTATGCCTTTCCCAGCAATCAGATTAAGAATCCTAATCTAAAACTATCACCAGAAAACTCCTCAGGAGAAACCATGGGTCATCTAGTCCAACCTCTCCCCTGTGAGTGGGCCACAAGAATTTAGACCACCTTATTAATGGTGTTAAGAGAGTCTAGACCCACGCAGGAGTAGCTACCCTAAAATCTAGATTTCTTCTCCTCCCTCTTCCATAGGTTTAACATTTTTATTAACTGGAGAGTTGCCCTGGCAAATAGGATGCGGCAGGAATGGAATTAACAATCACTGCGAAATTTCCTAGGGAATGTCTTTGTGCTCTGAAAACTTCTTCATCTTCTTGGAAATTAGGAATTGTGACCAGACACCCTACTAAGGGCTAGTGAATCCGAGCTGGCTTTTTACACTGTTCCATACTGGAGAGATCCCACATCATGTAAATTTGCATCATCCTGCACTGTTGGCATGGGTTGTAGATGCCGGTCTTTGCCGCCTTTCCTCCTTCATTTGCCAGAGTGGCTTCCTGGTGGAAACTTCTTTCCTTGTCTGCTTCTAGACTTTCATTCCTTCTACTAGTTGATTATGCTTAAAGATTTCAGGGTGAAAAGCCAGGCAGACATGCCCCTGTGTTGGTACCTGGAGGGTGATGATAAAATTTCATTGGCAGTTGAGTTAAAATGATTGAGCTCCAATATCTGTTCTTAGAAGTATAGAATTTATTGTTCTATTATTATTTTGTGGTTTTTCATTTTTTGTTTTCGTAGAGACCTGGGTCTCACTATGTTGCCCAGCCTAATCTCAAATTCATGAGCTCAAGTGATCCTCCCACCTAGACCTCCCAAAGTGCCAGGATTAAAGGCGTGAGCCACCATGCCTAGCCTATTGTTAGTCTGTTTCTTATTCTGATATGAAGTCCTATTGGGAAGTTCTGAAGGAATGCTGACTGCTCTTAAAATTACAAAGTATCTTGGTGGAAATGGGCTTTTTTATTGATTAGAAAACATTCGGTTTTAACTCTTTATAAACATTAGAATAAACTTCATGAATCCACACTTTATAAATACTTCTCTTTGGGAATAAAGAGGAAACACCAGCCAGCAGCCTAAGTGACAGCATAAAATTGCAAGATTTTTCATAAAGTATTTTACTGTCCTTCCAGCATAGGGAGGGAGTGATAACTCAAGATTTGGCCCAAGAGTAGGATTGCCTGGTGGTGGTCTGAGGGGAGGAGCTACAGACTTGTCAGGGCTATGTTGAGCCCTTAACTGGCATCCGGTACTCCCCAAATCCAGCGCTGTTCAGCGTGGCCTCAGAATGAAACAGGAGCTTAAGTTGGTTTTGAGGAGCAGTACCTGTTGCTGACAGACAGGGTTGGCTCCCTGACAAAAGTTACTGAAAACACGGGTTATTCCCCTCCTCCTCAGTACCCACTCTCTGCCTTCCTTCTCCTGTTTAGGCTAATCTTTTCAAGTGATGTAACTTAAAACAGTCCAGTGTGAGTTAATCTCTGGGGCCAGCTAGTATCCCGGGAGTAGAGGTGCTAAGATCTTTTGCCTACAGATCAGGGTAATGACAAGATCAAACACTGGGGTTTCCTGCAGGCAGCTATATAGGAGTCGTATTAAAGTTAGGCTAATGGAATGGCTTTTTTTCCTTTTCTTTTCAGGTGTTGGAGAGCACAATGGCTGAACAAGTCCTTCCTCAGGCTTTGTATTTGAGCAATATGCGGAAAGCTGTGAAGATACGGGAGAGAACTCCAGAAGATATTTTTAAACCTACTAATGGGATCATTCATCATTTTAAAACCATGCACCGATACACACTGGAAATGTTCAGAACTTGCCAGTTTTGTCCTCAGTTTCGGGAGATCATCCACAAAGCCCTCATCGACAAAAACATCCAGGCTTCCCTGGAAAGCCAGAAGAAACTCAACTGGTGTCGAGAAGTCAGGAAGCTTGTGGCGCTGAAAACGAACGGTAAAACTTGATCTGTTGTGCTTCTTTTGCCTGGGTGATAGCTCCCGCCTGCTGGGTCCCCATTCAAGCTTTACTAGCACAAGCCCAAGCTCAAATCAGTCTTGAGATTTAGTATTGAGACCTTAGTATAGAATCTCTATTCGGGGCATGTGATAATAGCAGACTTGTTTTGTGAATCTATTTATTAAGGATATTTTCTGATTGCGTATATTGCAGAGCACATTGAGGCTTGGAGAATGCATTTGTAAACACCATACCCCGATTAGGCAATTTGTTTCTCATTCTTGCAAATGTTTAATCATCTGTAAAATACCCTTCACTGGCCCGTAATGGAAATGTTACAAGCCTTTAAGTTCAAAAGGAAAGCATGGTGTGAAAACTGGTAGTACATTTGTTTCCCACTGTCATTAGAAAATGCTTGTGATGTTCTTACACTTCTTGAATTGGTAGCATTTTATGGGTTAACCAGTGAATGGCTGTTGAAGACATGAAGAACTTCGTTTGTCTCCTCCTCCTCTCTGACCTAGGTTCTATTGCCTATGCCCTGCAAGGTGAAATAGATAGCTGAAATTTTTAGCATGAATTTTAGACTTCACCTTCATTATTTTTAGGGGTTCTTAGTCACTGAATTCCTTCCTGTCTGTGCTGTTCTGCCAATGGCCTTTACCACTAGTAGCTATTTCCTATTCCAAGCTTTACTGTTTTGTTTTTTAATCATTTCCCTTGGGTAAGAATATGTGCATTAACAGGAATGTCAGAGCATACTGCTCCATGCAGGCACAAAATTCTACTCTATGGATGTGGATAATTATGACAATAAGCAAGTAGACTGTACAAGATCAATTAAATGCTCATAGTCTACATAAGAGCAGGAATCTCAGGTCCTTATATCTGTGACAGTCCCAAGCCATCCTAATAGAAATAATATGTCCAAGGGAAGAAAATCCTTGTTGACAATGATTACAATAAGAACACTAACTTAATTAACTTCATTGGTACATTAACTTTGGCTTTTTTTGACTTGGGTAACTTAGAGTGGACATGGGTTTTTAAATTTTGATTCTGGGGACTCTTGTACATTACCCCAACATCTTGCCTAGACTTATGAAATACTGATTCTTAGAAACATACATAGAAAGAAAACTGGGGATAGCTACTGTCTGCATTGTTCTTGGCATTAAATTAAGTGATACATAGAGGTAGGTAATTATGTGAAGTCATCATCACGGGGTTTATGTGCCTGACAATTTGTGGTTTTAATCCTCTCCCATTTGTTACCAAAAAGAGATGGAGTCAACTCTGGGGGAGTTAGAAACAAAGATTCTGCTGAATTAAAAATGTGGTAGAAAGGGGAAAACCTTATTAAGAGAATTAACTGACTTTTTGCTTTATTTCCTTAAGAAAGGAAATGCTCTATTTCCACTAGAAAAAAAAAAGGAATATAAATAGGAAACACTTATTTTGCAAACATGTCATTTAAATCAACAAGGAGCCACACTAGAAATAAAACTACAAAAGCAGGTGTATTTGTGTAACATTTTCTGGGAAATCATTTTTGGACTCAGAATCCTTTTGTTTCTTCACTTTCAAGAAAACTCCTTAAGATTCTAAAAAACGAAGAAAAGATATTTAGGGAGGGGAGGAAAACAAATGACTTTTTAAATTTGATTTTGATTAGCACCTTTTAAAAAAAATTAATCCTTCCCTTGATAGGAGGGTTCTTCAAAGGCAATATCTGTTTGGGGAGGGGGTGATTCACAAGTTTGCATTTGAGGAT